GTACCATGGACTGCTAAAAGAACTAACAGATCTGTCCTGGAGGAAGTGCAGCCAGAATGCTCCTTGGAAGCAAGAATGGCCAGACTTCGTCTCACCTTTGGTCATGTTGTAAGAAGGGACCATTCCCTGGAGAAGGATGTCATGCTTGGTAGGGTGGAGGGTTGAAGAAAGAGGGGGAGGCCTTCAAGGAGATGGATTGACACGGTGGCTGCAATGATGGGCTCAGGTATAGCGGGGATTGTGGGGCTGGCGCGGGATCAGGCAGTGTTTCATTCTGCTGTGCATGGGGTCGGCTATGAGTTGGAAACGACTCGACGGCACTTAACAACAACAACAACAACAACAACAATATACCTATTAACTATATTAGAACCTAAACTGAGAAATTAAATAAAGTACTTATTAATTTAAGAAGCCCAGGAGGCACAGTGATTAAAACACTTGACCATTAACCAAAAAGATCAGCTATTCAAACACACCACTGCTCCACAGGAGAAAGATAGGGAATCTGTTTCTATAAAGATTTACAGCCTTGGAAACCCTACGGGCCAATTCTTCTCTGTCCTGTAAGTTTACTGTGATCTGGAATCAACTTGATGGCAGTGGATTTGGTGGTTTACTCATTAATTTAAAATAACAATGAATCCCATTACAGATTAACAGAAATAACATTTTTATTTTAAAAAAATAAATAAACCTATATATCTCACAAGAAAATTTTTAAAAATCAGAGTCACTGTTTTACATTTTTGCCAATCTCTTTAATGCCTGACTCAATTTTTGTATCTGTTTATGCATTTAATGTGCAATATCACATGTCAGATGGCCTTTAGAAAACTCCACTGCATACTCATGACAGAATGAGAATGAAAACAGTGAATAATTTTTTAGTATTACTATGAAAATAATTTTGGCCTCAAGGACCTCATACACATCCTTGGAAATATTTAGTCTGGTTCTTCATTTTTCAGATGTTACTAAAGTATAAACTGAGGTCTAAAAGTGGCCACCTGTTTTCTAAAAGAAACAATACCTCATTCCATTGCAGAAACAGATCTAGAAGCCAACTGTTTTGAATCCACCTCTGGCCCCTGCACAGGGCCCTGCTTACAGGCTTTTCAAATCAATGGCTGTTGGAAATGGCTGCCTTTACCTTCATCCTAAGCACTGCTGTGTTACCAACTGGACAATGTCTAATATGTTTTCAACTGTGAATTAAAAAATACTCCAAGATGTCCAACAACTGAGGAATGGATAACCAAACTTTGGTACATTCACACAATGGAATACTATGCAATGCTAAAGAATAATGTAGAATCTGCAAA